TCCCGTTAGCATCCGAATAATTGTCGCTTTGGTGCTTATAAACTTACTTTTTCAATATTTCATTTTCCACTGCTTCATTCAGAAAATAAATCAGGAAAAAAGGAATTCGAAGAACCCATTGGTCAAATTGACTAAAAATTAGATTTTGAAAACTTTGACTAAAATTTTACTTCCTCTCTTTTCTTTTTACTTTCTCTTTAAAAACGATTTCCCTTTTTTTTTCTCTATCTTTAAAATAATTTGACAACATTTGAGGTGCAATTCAATCAATTTTGGAATCTTTCATAAAACCATTTCCCGCTGCTTTTTTGCCCCTTTTTTTAAAGGAAATTGTGTAATGAAAAAAAAATAAAAATTTATTCCTTTTTTTCTACAGTAAGTTCACAAAATTTTTCAATAAAATAACTAAATGTGTCAACAATTTTTAAAAATAACTAAAAAAATTCACTGCATAAAACTAATTAATAAAATGACAGAAATGCAAATTTGCCTCTTTTCAATTCTTTTTTTTTCATATATTTTTTTAGTATTCGCGACATGACGACCTGTCACTAACAGCAATGTTAGGAATATTCCCACAGAAAATTCATAATCCTATTTCATAGCATAAATATTGGGAAGTTTTAAGACTTCCTTTAATGAAAAATGCTTCCTGTTATCATTTCTATATTTGTTTAAGTAAGAAAGCATTGAGAAATAAAAACATATGATAATAATAAATTTATTCTGAAAAATTCATCGTTAATAATAAATATTTAGTATTATTATATCTAACCAAGAATTACCGGGGCTTTTCTTGGTGATTAGAATAATCTTTTTTCCACTTTTTACTGAAATACAACAGGATTAATAAATGGATATGAATGAATCTTTTCAGTTCAGTCGTAAATTCGAATAAAACACTTAAATCATTCAAATAGACCGCTTAAATCAGATCCTTCATAAATGTCCGCCTCATATCAACAAAAAAATTCTCAAATTTCAAATTTCTGAAATCTAGTCATCTTAAAATTTGCTCCAAACATATCGTGTAATAAAGGTGACGAAATTAATTTGCAAATTACTATGAGTTGATTACTAATGTTAGGGTATGCATCATCAGTGATTGCCATCATTGGGTAATTGTTATCATCTACTGTAATAGATTGATGAAATTTGAAATATATAATAACGAGAATAATAAAATAACTAATAATAACAAT